CACGGGCAGCCGTGCCCTGGTGCCGGGTGGCAGCCCGGCCTGTGATTGGTGCCACCTTCCTAGAGCTGAAGGACTTGAACAGCTCCATGACAACCCCTGAGATTGCCAGGGAGATCGAGGCCCTGAGGAAGGACTGTGCCAGTTACGCGGAGAAACTGGAGAGGATTAAATCTGCTACCAACCACGTGACTCCAGAGGAAAAAGAGAAGGTGAACAGCTGCTGAGGCCGGGGCCAGTGTGGATCCAGGATCCAGCACTTCCCTTACCGGCATTGCTTGCCCGGGGCTGCTGAGAGCCCCGCAGGGCGGCTCTGACCCGGTGCTGTTGGCAGGTGTGCCGGGAGCAGCAGCTGTACCGCCGGGAGTGGCGCCGGAGGAAGCGGATGGTACGGGCTGTGCTGCGGGTGGGCAGTGACGCCCCGCTGGGACTGCTGCCCACTGCCCTCACGCGCCCTGTCTCGCCAGGCCACCGAGCTGCTGGATGCCATCCTGGAGGGCTACCCCAAGAGCAAGAAGCAATTCTTCGTAAGTACCGAGGCTGGGTCGTGCCCACGGCTGCTGAGCCAGACCCTGAGCCTGTTCTGATCTGCTCGGTGCCGTGCAGGAGGAGGTTGGGATAGAGACAGATGAGGACCACGGCGTCGTGCTGCCAGCGACCACGTGAGGTGCTGGGGGAGCCTTTGTTCTGGGGAGCTGCTGCAGAGCTGCCTCTGAAACTCGGCTGTTGGGTTGTTCTTTTTCTGGTTTTGCAGGACTGGGATTTGTCCTGTGTGTTTGAGTTTGTTTTAAAATGTTTTGCAGTTGGAAGGGTGGTGGGTAGGAGTAACTTGGCACTGGCCCTCTCCTTGCAGTGTGATGTTGTTTTTTCCTGCCCCTAGTGCACTGAGCTGCCTGGCTGGGGTCTGATGTGGCTGAGGGGACACGTGGGGGCACTGGTGCTGTGTCCCTGGTGTTCTGGTAAGAAAAGGGAGTGAGGGACTCTCTGGGCTGCAGAGCTCTGTCTGTGTTCTAGCTGCTTCCTGCTGCATGCCTGAGTGGTCACATGAGAATATGATCCATTAAACACCAGGATTTTGGTTCAGCTGCACATCCCTGTGGTGTTTGTCTCTTCAGAGGGTGTCAGGGCAGGGTTTAGGCCCTGAGGAGTGGGGAGGGCAGGAGCCAGGAGAGGGTAACGTGAGCCACAGGGGCTGGAATGGGCTTCTGGAAACCACCAGCTCTAGGGCACAGCTCCAGGAACTCAGCATCGGAAAAATCATTAAAACATTCAGTGAAATTTATTTAATTACTTTTCACAATAGAAAAATACATCACTTTCATGTGTGAGGTCTGTAAAATTCCACTTCTTCTTCCCAAGGCAGGAGGCAGTGCTCCCTCCTCAGTGCTGGAAAAACTGCCTGAAATAAACATTCCCTGGATGTGCCCCTGGAGCAGGAGCACAAACGTGGTTATGGAGAAAAAAACCTGCTGCTGGCAGCACCCTGGTCCCATCACTCTGGACAGTGCCCAGCAGAGCTGTGACCCAAACTGGGCATGGGACAGGGTCAAACATGTCCCTGATAGCAGCTGCTTCTACAGCTGGCACAGGCAGCACTGTGGGACCATTCCAAAATTTACAATAATAAAAATCAAATCAAGACTGATCATGTATGTGTGTGTATAAAAGTTCTAAGAAGGAGCAGCAAGTGCACACAGCCATGCCATGCTACAGCTGCAGAACTTTCATGTGCAGTACAGCCAGTTTCTGAGAAAAGGAGAGGTGTTCCAGCACTTGCAGGAACTTCCTCTGCTCCTTCCCAGGGACTCATGGCTGCAGCACGCTTGGGGTTCATCAAGGCCCTAGCATGTGCTGCCAGGGCCACAGCTCCCAGCTCTTGATGGGCTCATCCTGCTGCCAGCACTGCCAGGCTCCTCCAAAATGCAACAGCTGACTCAAAACAGCTGCTCCAGAGGGGCAGGGCACAGCCCAGAGGGTCAGGGAAAAGCAATTCCTACTGCTAGACCAGAAACCCATGGTTTTTAGTATGCATTTGTCACATTTGCCCACCCTGGGGATAGCAGGGCTGTCACAGGCCTGAGGGCACAGAGTGGAGCTGCTCTGGGATCAGCTCTGCAAGGAGAGTCAGTGGCACAGGCAACCCCATGGCCTGAGCCAGAGACTCTGCTCCCCACCTTTCCCTCCCCTCCTGCCCAGTCCCTATGAAGATTTGGAGGCACCGAGTGGAGCAGCACTGTTTGCACAGCCACCGTTGGGCTTCAGAAGGAATACAATAAATAATTCAGAGAACCTTAAAAACAGCCACAAGGGAGAGGGCCCAGGGTGGTGCCTGGCAGCCTGGCCTCTGGCAGAAGTACCCCATCCCCACGGGCACAGAAGTGGCACGGGAGGCTCAGTAGAGCTGGCTCTTCACCTTGTGCAGGACCCCGATGACAACGTCCCGCAGCGTCTGTGGCAGAAAGAGGACAGTCAGTTGGTCTGTGGAGGGACAGCCACCCCTGTGCCACTGTCTCTGCCCCCTCAGCCATGGCACCAGCCCCTCTGCAGCTCTGCATTCACCTGGGGCTTGCAGTGCTCCTCAATCCAGCTGAAGACACACGCTGAGAGCTCCTGAAAACTCGTTACAGAGACTGAGGCATTGAAGGACTGGAACAGGGAGTCCATGATGCCTTGGAAAACATTGAACTTCACCTCGTCAGAGATCTGGTTCTTCCCCTCATTTGGATTGTCCTGATGAGCTTTCACAATCTGCTCATAGTTCCTGAAACAAGCAGGGCACACCAAGGTCAGCAGTGAGGCATCCACACGTGACTGAGCTGCCACTCCCAGCTCTGAATTCCCACACCAGCTCCTGCTCCTGGTTCCCAGCTGCAGGGCTGTCCCCAGATGGAGAACCACTGCAGAACCCCACAAGGATGGGAGGGAACAACAGGAAGTAGAGGGCACAACCCCAACAGCTCTTCCCTTACACTTTCATGATCTTCAAGGCCATCACATCTTTCCTGAGGGTAGAAACTTCCTCCTCCTGCTTTTTCTTCTCCTTGTGCAAGAACTGGATGTAGTCAATAGCTGAGCACGCAAACACAGAGTGAGGATTTGGGAGCACACATGAGATCCCCACAGCACGTGCCTGAACCAGGGCACCATCAGCTCTCACTGGCCCAGTTCCCTTGGGGAAAGTGAGGGCAGGTGAGCAGCACCCAAGCTCCCCAGAGCCTCATCACACCAGAAGGTTCTAAGGTGCTGAACCTTGCCCTGCACACCTCCAGGGCGGAGCTTTGGGGGTTGATAGCACCTCCTTCCCTCCTGCCCTTGGGACTCACTTTTCTGCAGCACAATGGCCTTGCTCAGCTTCTGTGAGCTGATGGAGAAATCCTGCTGCTCACAGGTGGGGACGATGGCCTGCAAGTCATTGTAGCCTTTCTGCAGGGAAGCAGAGCCACAGGGTGTGGGCTCATCCTGTGGGGCCAGGAGCACACCCAGCTCCCACAGCACAGCCCGGCAGAGCCAGGGCACATCCAGCAGCAGAACACAAGTGCTGGGAGAGCAGGGTGCTGCAGCAGGCTGGCAGCAGCACTCCAGCACTGCCTGCTGCCTCTTGCCTCGCTCACCTTGATGGCATCTCGGCGCTTCTGCTCGGCCTGCGTGTGCGCCCGGCGGCGCTGGTCCTTGTAGGACTCCTTGGAGGACTCCTGATGGTAGTCACTGTCCTCATCGTCTGTGGGGACAGAGTGTGGCTGGGCGTGGGGACACAGAGGCACCAGGAGGGGCACGAGACAGCTCAAGGGACCACTACAGCTGCAGCCAGGCCCAGCATAGCCCCCGCCCCATTCAACTACAGCAGGCTGGGCAGAAGAAAAGCCTTCCAAGGAGCCCTGACAACATTTCCCTCTCCTCAGGGAGTTGGCAGGAGGCAGGTGCCGGCAGCTCCCTTGAGAAGATGTCAAAACCAGAGTGATTCTCGACTCCAAACCCTGCTGGAAACCACAGAACCCTGATGCTATTCCCACCACCTTCCTCCTCCTCCTTCTCCTCAGGACAGGAATCCTGCCCAGCCACGCTCACCCCCTCGGTGCAGGGCAGACCTGAAGCCCGGCACGTGCCGGATTCCCCAGCGAGCAGAAACACGTTGTCACGGAGAGCAAACCCCACCTGTGTTGGGGACAGAAGAGGCACTGGTGGAGCCGATGCTGTTGGCCCGGGACACTATGCTGCCTTTCCGGGCATTTTCCATGAAGAGCGCTGGAATTAGAGCGTCCCGGGGTCAGTGCCCAACGCGGGGTGTGACCGGGCGCAGGGACATGAGGGGCGTCCCCGGGCAGCCGCTGCCACCCACGAACGGGGGTGGCGCGGGCCGGGCGCCGCCCGGGCACCTACCGGAGTCCAGGCCATTGTCGCCGTAGGCCGCGTCCACCTGCGCGGGGCCGGCGGGCGGAGGAGACACGTCAGCGGGGCTGGGGCGGCGACCGCGACCGCGCCCCGGAGCCCCCCCGCCCTCAGGAGCTCGGTCGTGCCGAGGAGCGCCCGCCACCCCCGAGCTGCGGCTCCGCTGGGGCCTTCACCACCGCCCCTCGCCCCGGCACTGACTCGTGCGCGCTCCCCGCCCCCGTACCCCCAGCCCGGCGCTCACCCTGCCCGGCCGCCATGAGCCCCGTCCCGGCGCGCCGCCCTGCGCCCCCGCGGCACCCGGCGGCCCGGCCCGACCCGATCCCGGCCCCACCTTCCCCCACGAGTCCTCGGCGGCGGCGCCCGGCGGCTCCGCCATCTTCCGCCCGCCCGGTCATGTGACCGCCGGGCAGCGCCGGCCGCCCCGCGCCGCCAGGGGGCACCCGCGCGCGAGTGACGTCATGGGCGTGACCCACCGGGAGTCCCACAGGGCACCGGGAGTCCCACACCGGGCACCGGGAGCCTCACACAGGCACCGGGAGTCCCACACCGGGCACCGGGAGCCCGGGCCCAGAACGGGAGCGGGCACAGGACGGGACCGGCGCACGGACACGCACTGCAGGAGCAGCCTCTTTACTGTCACCCAGGGGGCTCAGCCCTGCAGTGTTCCCCCTCACCGGGGGGCCGCAGGACGGATGCCCCGGAGCCTCCCCAGAGCTGGATGGGGCCGGTGGTCTCGGTCCCACGCTGCTTCGTCCGCCGGTTCATGGTGGGCAGTGGTGGCTGGACACGGACCGTCACGGGCTGGGCCCTCACGGGCCAGGCTCCAGGCTCAGGCGCTGCTGCAGCAGGTCCCAGGCCTTCTGCACCTGCCACAGAACCGGCCGGGCCGGGCGGCGCCTCAGAGCCCGCAGGGAGGCGAGCGGCGCCTCGGCTCGGGGCAGGAGCGCCACAGCACCGTCCCACGCCTCTCCCCTCCCGGCTGAATCCACATCCCCAGTTCCACCCGTTGTGGCAGCCTCCGTGGTGAACAGCGCAGCCAGGCACGGCCTGAGCACACACGGAGCCCTGCAGCTGCCGTCACAACCACCCAGAGCACCGCTGCTGGTGCTGCAGCAGCCCCGGCTCACCTGCTGGCGGGTGATGTCCGGCTCCCAGAGGCTGCAGAGCACCACCTGCGACTGCTCGACCCGCTGCCTGTTGCTCATCTGGCTCTGCAGCCGGCGGCGAGCGGCCTCCTCGGTCAGCCCATCCCTGGCCACGATGCGCCTCACGGCCTGGCGGGGACACAGGGGACACTCAGGTGCTTGGGAGAGGCTGAGGACCAGCCCTGGCAGTAAGTGAGGGGCCCAGGGTGTTGCCCACCTCCTCCTCCGGGATGATGGCAGTCCACACCTCATGGACCATGTCCTGCCAGCCGGCCTCCAGCAGCACGGCAGCGTCCAGCACACACACAGCCTTCCCTAGGGAACAAGGGCATTCCTCAGTGCCTGGCCATGGATGGCAGCAGCCTGGGCTCACTCCCACCTTCCTGACGCTTCACTGCCACAGAGCCACCACCCTCATTACCTTGAGCATCAGCCTCCCTGACCCTCTCCTTCACCATCTGGGCTATTTTGGGCCAGACAATATCCGTCAGCCTCTTCAGCTGCTCCTAGAAAGGACACAGCAGGATTTGAGATGCAGTCCCTTGCCCTCAGAACCCCTCTGTAGCCAGCCAGGAGAGTGGGGGTGTAAGCACTTAAGGGACACCCAGGAAGGAGCCACTGAAAATGGGGAGGTGGGTCCAGCCCATCACTGAACACCAGGAAGGAAAGTTTTCACACTGGCCAGAGGCTCCCATTCCTGCTGCCAGGGTCAGGGTGCTTTCTCCTATTATTTTCCTTGTCCTGCCATTAGGGCCCTGCTATTAGCAGAGATCTGTCTCTGCTGTGAGAGGTGCTTTGCTCCACAGCACAGCAAGCTCCCCGTGCAGCAGGTCCCACAAAAGACATGTCCATCCAGGGAACCTCTTGATGTGCCTCCACCATGGCTGGGGAAGCAGCAGAGCAACATGCTGAGCACCTGTAAAGGCCAGGTGCCACTGAGCCCCCCTGGGCACAAGGGGCACTGACCCCTGGCTGTGTTTGTCAGATCTGTTGCTCTGAGCTGGGTGAAGGAAAAGCATGGTACAGAGGAGATGGGGATGGCAGTGGGGACAGGGGTGGGAACAGGGGGGCAGCAGCAGCTGCAGGACAAAAGCAATATATCCAGCACAGCTGCTGATTCAGCTGCAGAGATGTGACCTGTCCCACCCTGTCCCCATGCCACTGCCAGAAAACACAGCCAGGAAGGTGTCACCATCCCAAAGGGCTGAAAACGCAAAACCCCTGGCACAAGAGAACAGCTCCCACTCACAGCATTAAGTATTTACAATAAACCTGCTTTTACCTGCTTTCCAAACACTTTGGCCCCGAGGACTTTCCTGTTAATCGTTCCATCTTCATTCAGGATCTCTGCAAGGCAGAAGCACAACAGGTTTGAGAGGGACAACTCCCATCCCTGTGGCAAGCCTGGGTTGGGGAAAGGGCTTTGGCACAGGGCTCTCAACAGCACACACAAACACCTGACCTGGCAGCTCTTCACCTGATTCCTGAAAAGGACAGGGAAGAGCTTTTTCCAGGCAAACAGCAGCCTGGTTCATCGTTCCCCACCAGCAGCTCTGACATGGGACACACAACACTCGGGGAGCCCAAAACCCATGGGGAGGGAATGGGGCACAGGCCAGGGCTCTCTGGGACACTGAGACACCCCTCCCTCCCCTCCTCCTCCCTGCAGCCTCCAATGACTCTACCTGCCCCAAAGGCTGTCACCACTGGCTCGTAGGCCGGGCCACCAGGGACATAGACGGCATGGCCCAGCTTGTCAGCGTCGATGACGAACGCGCCCAGGCTCCCCAGGAGTTTGGCAATGGAGGTTTTCCCACTCCCGGTTCCCCCAGTCAGCCCAATAATGTACGGGCGCAGCGGCAGAGCTGGGTCTCGCTAAGGGAAAGAGGAAAGCTGTGGCAGCAGATGGAGAACTGGGCTTTGCTGGGGCTCACACCCCGGCCTGGAGGTGGCCATGAAAGGCCCTGCAGAGCAGCAGGCAGCCTCTGCAAACTCTTGGACTCCCCAGACTCCCACCCCTCCTCCCGGGCACTCTCATTGCAGCTGTGGCTCTGCAGGCCCCCCTCACCCGTGGGGGCTGCAGCAGCGTCCCCAGCAGCCTCTGCCGGAGGCTGGAGGAGCTGATCTTCTCCTCCTCGTTCTGAGTGTGGTGAGGATCCTTCATCAATTGGATTTCATACAGAGCCAGCTCGGGGAGCCCCTGATGAAGAGAATGGAGCCCCAGCCATAAGAATGCAGCAGAGGGAAGGGGCAAATCAAGACCAAATTTGCCCCCAGTCATTATCAGGCAGGGCGATAGGGTGGGCAGAGATCTCCAGTGTGGGATTTACGTTTTCATGTCTCTTCCTGTTCACAGCCACCCCTCCCTGGCGGGTCTCCTCGCTGACCACCAGGCACTGCAGGTCGGGGTCTGTGACCGAGGGGCCGAAGGGGTCGGCCAGAGGCACGATGTCGTAGCACAGTGAGGGCTTCACATCCTCCAAGAACTCGCGCAGCTTCGCCGCCCGCAGCTCGTACGGCTCGATCAGCTCTGGCAGGACCTTGTCTGCCGGGTGCCAGGAGGGCGGAGAAGCACAAGAGATGAGGGAAAAGAGAGACCAAGAGATGAGGGAAAAGAGAGACCAAGAGATGGGACTTTGAACGCTGCCTCCCCCTTCCCTTGCCCTCGCTGCACTTGTACACTTTGTACACCCTGCTGGTTGTGGGCAGGACACCGGGTCCCCCCTGGATCCCCACTGACACTCTGCCTGGATGGCACCGCCTCGTGTGGGTGACTGCCACGACTTCACTTGTTACTGGGCCCCCAGACAACTGCCCGGGGAGCACCGGGCTCAGCCCTCGTGCCCGCGCAGTGCCACGGCCGCCCCGGACTCACGGCGGAGCAGCTCTCCGTCGGCCACCCCGGCCAGGAGCCGCTGCCGGGCCAGGAGGCAGCAGACGCTGAGCAGGAGCCGGTGGGCGCCGTGCAGCCGGTCGAAGGTGCCGCCAACAGCCACGTCCAGGAATTCGGGGAGCGTCGCGTCGAGATCCTGCTCGGGGTCCCCCTCGGGGTCCCCCGCGGTGTCCTCGCCCAGCAGCAGCGCGGGCAGGCTCGGCGGGCAGCCGTACAGAGCGGCGGCCAGGCGCTGCAGCCCGAGCTGCACCGGCTCCAGCGGCCCCGGCGCCTCGGCGGGCGGAGCGGCGGGGCCGGCGGCGGGGCAGCCCAGCCGCAGCCCCGGCTGCAGATGCACGTACAGCGGCCCCGCCACCAGCCCCGCCGCCGCCGCCACCAGCCCCGCCGCCCGCCGGGGCAGCGCGGGCAGCGGCGCCGTCAGCACCAGCAGCCCCGAGGCGAAGGGCGGCATCGCCCCGCCGGAAGCGCCGCCGACCGGAACGGGGCCGGCCGCGCGGCCGGAACGGCACCGCCTCCCGGGCAGCGCCGCACCTCGCGCGAGGCGCGCTCGGCTCCGCCCGCGAGGGGAGGAGACCGGCCGGCCCGGCCGCCCCGCAGGGCCGAGCGAGCCCGGCGGCTCCGCGGGACCGCGGCGTGACGGGGACAGAGCCGGAGCCGTGCGGCTGCAAAGGGTTTTATTGGGGACACGGCGGCACCGAGCACGCGAACGGGCCCGGGCCGGCGGTTGGCGTGGCAGCGGTTCCGGTGTTGGTCTCTCCGCTCAGGGCTGCTCCCCGCCGGCCTCGCTGCCGCCGAACACGAAGTCGTGCATGGCGCGGACGTACGCGGAGCCGTCGGGGCTGCTCAGCCGCAGGCGCCACAGCGGGGCGAGGAGCTGGGTGCTGGCGCAGCGAAGGGGTGGGCAGGGGCTGCCGATGGCCTCCAGGAACACCTGGCACCGCAGACGGGTCAGAGCCCTCCCTGGCACGGCCCCACGGCCACCCCGCCCCGCGGTGACTGACCGGCAGGACCTCCTCCACCTCCTGGGCCGTGTCGCGGAAGATGCTCTGACAGTGGCCCAAGTACCGGCGGTACAGCCCCTGTGTCTCGGCGTCCAAGCCCCGCATCTCGCTGCCCTCAGGGTCGGGGCGCTGCAGGTTGGCCAGGAAGCTGGTGTGGACGGGCCCGCACTCCACCAGCGTCAGGCTGCGGGAGGGAGCACATGAGCTGCCACCGTACCCCGCCCTGGCATTCCCCCATCCCGGTGGGCAGGATCCAGCCCTCGTGGCATCACCGGCACTCACTGGATGTTGAAGGGGCGCAGGACGATGGCCAGACTCTCGCACAGCCCCTCCACTGCAAACTTGCTGGCACAGTAGACAGCATTGAAGGGCAGCCCTGGGGCAGAGCCACACCCTGAGCACCAGAGCTCTTCCCCGCTCACAGGAAGCTCCGTGTGCCGCAGGGTGCTGGGGGTCCCACCTTGCAGCCCCCCGATGCTGCTGGAGACAATGATCCGCCCGGCCCTGCGGCTCTTCATGGCAGGCAGGAACGCCTGGATGGTGCGGACAGCCCCAAAGAGGTTCACATCGAAGAGAGTTTTCATGGCCTGGTCCGAGCAGGTCTCCAGCGGTCCCATCAGTCCCACCCCTGCATTGCAGACTGCCAGGCATGCTGCAGTCAGCTGGGCACAGGGCAGTCAGCCAGTGTCTGCAGCCCCACACACCACTGAGTGCCAGAAGGCAGAAATGGGGGGGCTTTCCCTGCTCATGAGCCCTTGGCACCCCAAATCCATCTACTGCACCTCTGCCCTGCTAAACACGTCCCAGCCCTAGCACTGCCTGCACCTCCCATAATTTGGCTTCTCCTCCTGGTGCCCTGAGGAGGGCTGTGACTCCAGAGAAGTCCCCTCAGCCACCCCGGGGACATGGGGCACCAGGAAAAGCCATACCCAGCACATCCAGCCGCTGTCCCTGCACCCGCTGTGCAGCAGCTGCCAGCGAGCAGGGGTCAGTGACATCGAGCTGCAGGACCTCCAGCGTGTCGGGGCAGCAGCCCCCCAGGCGCTCCAGCAGCCGCTCACCCTTGGCCAGGTCACGCATGGTGGCATAAACTGGGGAGAGAGCGTGGCTGTGGGCAGCAGTGCCACCGAGCTGCACGGCCAGCACCCACCCCAGCCCACCCCCAGGCTCTGTCTCTCCTTGGTGAGACCACCTGGGGCTGCCGGACCCCCGGGGCAGCGCTGACCCCTTTACCTTGGAAGCGGCGAGCGGTGTCGGCTGCCAGGCGTGCAGCCAGCCCCAGGCCGATGCCTGAGGAGCAGCCCGTGATCAGCACCGTGGTTCTCTCCATGGCTGCCAGTGCTGGCCAACGGGGCCACCCCATTTAAGAGGGCTGGGAAAGGGGTCCCCCCGCCCCACGGCACCGTGTTGTGTCTGCTGCTTTATCTCAAGGCCCCTCCACCCACCTCCCTGCGCATGCCTGGGGCTCCCTGTGCCTTGATCCTGGTGCAGGTGCTGTGATAAAAACTCCATGAGCCAGGACCTCCCTGCTGGAGGAGGCTCTGGGGCACGAGGGCAGCCGCAGCTCCAGGGGTCTGCCCCAGCTGTACTTTGCTGTGCCAGGCATCCCAGCTGCCAGGACACGTCTGGCAGGGAGTTCCTGCTGGGCAGGCTCAGGGCTGAGCTGCTCCTCTGCCCCCATGTTCCACACAGTCCTGTGCTAGCAAAAGGAGTTGGACACACATGGGAGAAAAGTCTGTATTTGCTCCATAGCTGGGCTCTGCCCAAGCCCAGCTGTGGAAAAGGCCTCAAAAACTCCGTCCTGGGGAGCACAGCTCCAGCAACACTGCAGGCAACAATGCTGCAAAGTCCTTCAAGATACAAAAGGCACCAAATGTGGACAGAGCCATGCAGTGCCATGTCCCCACAGGGACTGGGGTTCAACACTGCTCTGCCCCCTGCCCACTGCCACCCCCCTGTCTGCTTCTCCCCCATCACTGCCCCTGCTAGCCAGCCAAGGCCCCGCAGCAGGGACACATTTGTCCTGTCCCTCTCCAGTGTCCCACCAAGCTTCCAGCTGTGCAGCCCAGGTTTCCTGGGAACAGGCCCAGGGCAGCTGGGCAGAGCTGAGCACAACGCATGGTGCAGGATGGGAGCCTGGGCACAGCCTCCCCCCACCCATCTGCCAGCCCTTTGTCCATGTGCCAGCCCCTCTGGGAGCACATCCTGCCCATGCAGAGGAAGGGGTGGATCCAGGCTGGCTGAGGGCCACCAGGGCCACTGTGCCCCTCTTCCAGGACACAGCCACCAGGCCAGGAGCCCAGATGGGGGAGGGTGCAGGGGCTCTGTCCACCCTCTGTGGGAGAAGCTCCGGAGGCAGAACCCAAAGTCACGCAGGCCCAGCCAAGCTGCGCCGCAGGGCGCTGGGGTAGTATTTGAGGAACAGCTTCCTGGAGATCTCCATCGTGTCCCCAGCTGGCACAGCTGGGTAGCGCTTCTTGTTGTAGATGAAGCCTCTCTCCACTTGGAAGACAGCCTGGTTGAACTGGTCCTGGTGGAAGGGGCGGCCTGAGTTGAGGCTCTCCACCAGCACAGAGACGAAGAGGCTCCAGCGCACAGCGTAGTAGTCCAGCACCAGCCCCCCCAGCTGCTTATTGGCATAATCCAGAATGTTCCCACTGGGCCCCCAGAGCGTCACCTGGTTCCGGGCATTCAGCTCATACTGCTCAGCCTCCCGGTGACTGGTGGCCACGGCACGGGCGCTCTCCAGCCAGCGGCCGAGCAGGAAGAGGCTGTGGCTGGACAGGAGGCTGTCCAGCTCTGGCAGCAGGTCGTACACCAGCACGCCGCCGGCCGTCAGCAGCTCCGGCAGCGCGTGGCTCTGGAAGGCCTGGCGGATGCTCAGGTAGTAGTCGCTGACCAGCTGCTGGGCTGCCTGCCGTGTCACATCCACCAGGTCGTAGAGGAAGGCGGGGCTGGAGCCCAGCTCGGCGCCGGCGCTCAGCAGCAGGCGCCAGGCCTCGTACACGTCGCTGGCGTTGTACCAGAGCTCCGTGTCCATGCGCAGCGAGGGCCGGCGCACCAGGGGGCTGCGGTTGTGGTTGACGCAGACGCCGGTGCAGTTGTACACGCTGCGGAGGAGCAGGCGCCAGGCGCCGGCTGCGGCGGCATTTGGGGCGCCGTAGCGGCGCTCGGCGTAGCGGGTCACCCAGCTGGGCAGGTCCAGGGGCTCCTGCCGCCAGCCCAGCTCGTTCATCAGCTCGTACACCATGTCGTTCTGCTCAATGCCCTCGGGCACCAGCCCCGTGCCCACCATGGTGGAGTTGGGGAAGCGTCGAGCTGCGAAGGGGCCGTGGTTGATGGCCTCCACAGTGCCAAAGAGGCCGTGGTTGCCCCCGAAGTTGTGCAACATGCACCAGATGAAGGGCTGCCCATAGAAGGACTCTGTCCACTGGTAGACGGGCTTGGACTCAGCAAAGAGGTCGAGAACAATCATCCTGCCAAGGGGCACTCCGTGCAGCAGGGCCCGCACCTGTGCTGGCTGCCAGAAGTCAGGCTGGTGCTGGAAGAGCCAGCCCTGCATCAGCCACAGCGCCTTGGGGTCAGCTGGGAACAGAAGAGCACTGAGTGAGATCCTCTCCAGGTAGGGCCCACAAGTGTCTCATGAGGCCCTGAGGCCACTAACCACCCCTCAAGGGGGTTTTGGGGATCTGGCACCAATGGGTTCTGCGCTTGCATGGGCCCACAGCCACCTCCCCCAGCCCCTGCTATCCCACCTGGACCCCTGTGGCCAGGCCAGCACCACACACGGACCCACCTCCTGTCATCGACCTGAAAACGGCGTTGCTGACTCTGGACAGGTAGGCAGGGTCAGAGGAGAGGGGGGTCATCTCGTTGAAGGTGTCTGCACTATAGACGTGGTCTGTGCCAAACTCCTTGATCAGCTCCTTCAGGAAGAGGGTCCCGATCACCTGGAACATGGGGTCCTCTGGGTCCAGCAGGTAGATGCATGAGTAGGCACAGTCGAAGTGGCTCCAGTGCCCCAAGCGAGTGGCATTCACACGTGGGAAGACCCTGCACCACAGGGCAGAGAGGGGGATCAGGAGCAGAAGAGGACAGGACCACGGTGCCCATGTGGGGACAGGGCAGTCTGCTGGGGAAGCTGCAGAGGGAGGTGCTGCAGGAGATCAGCCCCGGGAAGGGCCCAGGGCTGAGGCCCCGGGGCAGGGGCTGCACCTACCGAAGGATCCCCTGCGGCACGTGGCCCGCGAAGGCCGGCAGCACCGTGGTCATCCCCAGCGAGCGCATCCGCTCCACGATGCGGTACTGGGAGAGAGAAGGAGAGAAGGAACAGAAGGAGAGAAGCCCCCACGTTCCCACGAGGGCACCCCGGGCACTGCTGCAGCTCGGGGCGGAGCGGGGGGCTCCCCGAGGCTGAGCGAGGGCAGCCTGGGCCAGGAGGACCAGGGGGTGACAGGGGTTTGCCCCGGGCGGGCGGGGCCGCCCCC